TAATAATAATAATAATAATAATAATAATAATCAACAGCACTGCATATTTCACTGCATATTTATCTTGAGCAGGTTAGCAGGTCGCTGTAAATTTTCAAGTCTAAATGTAGTGTTGGAAAATAAATGTCACATACAAGAGAGCAGAGTGATTACCTGTCGCAGTACTGAATGACCAAGAGTAATGGAGCCATTGCTGGGGTCTTTAATTCTATTTTGTCTGAAATTTATGCAACTGGGGTTATCCTAATTGTCTTATTACATACATGCAAATTTCAGTCTGTTGCAAAGAGAGTAGTTAAATTAATAAATTAAATTAATTAAATTAACTGTAATCACTAAATTAGAATTGATCATCTGTCATTTATGACTTATGCAATATACAATGTAGTCTGAAAGGAGAATTTTAAATAAAGACTCAATAGCTAGACATGCTGGTTTAGATATCCATAACACCAGTGATGACTGTGGGTTTTGCATATGACATAAACTAACACCCTCTTTCTCTTCTTCTTTATTTCTCGTGTTTCCTACTCAGGTGTCCAGTTGAATTTACTGGTGATCGCTGCCAAAACTATGTAATGGCCAGCTTTTACAGTATGTCTATTTCCTCTCATCTTCTTGGCTTGCAACTTGACTAACAGTTAACCTCTTTATTTCTTCTTATATTTTTCATTAATGCAGTGTTTCTCCATTTAAGTGTTTTCTTTAAAGCTTTATTTATATTTATTTAGTATGTATATTTATATACATTCAGAAATTGAGTGTTTCAATCCATACAACCACTTTTCTTAAATACAGCCTTTACATGCTCACAAAAATGAAATGGTGGATTATCATACTTGAATATTAGAACATATTTAACTGAGTCTAAAAGGCGATGCAACAATACAATACTCAACAATACTCAAATGGCTCAAAGCATACTAAGAAAAAAAACCCCCTGCTCTGTTACAGTACGAATACTAGCCTGGACTGTCAACACATGGAGGGTTGGATCCATGACACTGACACCAAAATGTCAAAAGGTTCAGCAGAAATTTACATTCTGATGAACAAATCTCTGCTCTGTGGACACATTTGGTGTACTCAAACATATTCTCCATAGTCAATCCACTTTATGGTTGCACATTATGGGTAGTGCATTCTGTGATAGTTTTCCAATTCAGGTCTACTGTACAGAGTGATTGCCTTATATAGCGTTTTGAGTGCTCTGGGAGAATAGAAAAAATTATATACTGTAAGAGTCATTCCATTTACTATTTAACATTTAACTGTCTTGGTCACTGTAACTGTTAGTTACCGAAGCTTTTTGTTTGGTGTTTTCGTCCACAGAACTGCTGCAAACTTGTTTCTTACTTTTATATTACATTGTCTTATATGCCACAATGATCAAAAGGCACAACTTTTGAAGGTAAAAAAGGTAAATTTTCAGTTTCTGGTTTCCCTTTTCATCATGTAAGTCTGATAATGGAACAAGCAGATGCTTTAGTGTGCTAACTTCTATTGCAAATCTTTATCCAAATTGAAAATAAGACAGTCAACATTTATACAGTATCAGCATTTGAAAGATGAATTCACACATCATTTATCATACATTTGCATTAGAAATAGTA